CCAACCAAAACATCCGCAATGCAAAAGCTTTGAGCAGGTACTCGTTTTGAAATTCAAGGCCGACGATGCGGCAGAATGTGAGCCCGGTACACTGAGAAACCAAAGAAAACCTAACCCAGCATCAAACCAAACCCTCAGCCTCAAGACCTAAACGCTAAGCCGTTGCAAATTTGGCTGCCTATGCCTAAAACTGACAGCCCAGACGGTTCCGGAAACTCTCCCAAATCTCAAAACGAACTTAGCCTCCTCAAAGCCCGTGCACACACCTGGCTCTTCTTTTTGAAGGCATGTGGGGGCTCGGTGGCCTCCTTCGTTGCTTTGCTGCGGAAGGGAACGTATCGCCTCGGCTGCTGCAGGTTTGCGGAGCGTCAGGGTGTTTGCTTACTGGTAGTAGTGACTATGGGAGTAAATCATCTAGGAGCTATATTCCCTCATTCCCTACTAAGAAGCAGCAAGTTTGGGGTTTGGAGGCCGCTGTGGGTGGTGCTGTGGGTGGTTTGCAATGGTGGGTTTAGGCTACAGGTTTTGCCTTTTTTCGGTCTCAGGCTTGGACCATTGGAGATTGACAGTTGTACATTGGCAGGAAATCTACCTGGCTATGGTACACGCATCCAGACGATTCAGATCCTTGTGGTGGTTTTCACGCCTTTTCCAGGTCTTCCTCATTCGCTGCAGGGAATGAACGTCCTCAGCCGTAACCATTGACTGCTGACTGCTAGTTCACAGAAGCCTAAGCCGCATCCTGGACTTTCAACTTTTTGAAAGGCGCCCTTCTGGCTCTTAGGGTCTCATGTCTGTGTCAGGCCTTGCTCGCAATGGGGTGTGTTTGATGTCAGTATGACGCCTGCGGCCTGCGGACAGACGGATGTTGAACCTTCTGCTTCCCTCGCTTGCCCACGATTCGACCGATTTGCTACATGATTGATCAGTCATGCGTGCATAGGCTCATCGCACCGGTAAGAGAATCGCAGCACATGTTCTCAATTTGCGTTGTCTCAAAAGGCCAACCGTTTCATTATCACTGCAATCCCCATCTAGTCACTGCGTGTCCCGAAGATCTCAAGGATATCGAATTTCGAGTTTCTGCGTGCCGGCAGGCCGTACTCCAAATCTGGAATCTCCAGCCCCAAGCCCCTCAACCCTGAACCCACAGCACCTCCGCCCAAAATATGTATCTGTACAGCTCTCGTATGTTTTGTAGACTCTTATCAGCCCTAAACCCGAAAACCTAAACCCAAATCTCAAACCGACAACCCCAAACCCTAAAGCACAAAGTCCGAAAGCACAGTTGCTCTCAAATCTTGTGTCTTGATGCATCGTCCTCTCGATGCGACAGCGCACTGGCTGCTTCAGTCCGAGACCCATAAAGAGAGGGTTGAGAGCCACTCCGCAGGTGCCCATGGCTTACAATGTCGGGCTGCAAGTATGCCAAGGTACGGTGGGAGTCGAAGTGCAAAAGCTGCTTGTAATTGGAAGGACAAGACTAGCTAGCCCTTCCCACAGTTCTTGAAGTGTCTGCGAGAAATGCGCGTTTGGAGCCCTTTGAGACTGGCGCAGCTTGAGCTTCCGTCGGTGAGCATGTCGCGGATTCCTGATCAAATAGTGTTCACCAGGAGGAGCATGTCATGTCCGTTTGAGGTGGTCTTTTGGTGCTGTTCTTTGCAGGCCTTGGTGAGGAAGAGGAGGTCCAAGTGGAAGCAGATGGCACGTCTCGCAGCTGCAAGATGTGCTCAAGAAATCCTCTCAGGACTAGGATTTTCTTCGAATGCTCCAGCTGGCCAAGGAGAGAGAGCCATCTTGGCAAACACCAATGATCACAAACGCGCACGGATAAGAAAAGTCACGGGCCTATACGGGCCGCAACCCCTGCACCCGTAAGCCCTCCGGCCCCAAAAGGCTCCCACCCAAGCTAGAAAGTCCCGATCCCCCAACTGCTCAACGCCCATAAGTGCTGAAGCCCAGGCTGCGCATACGGCGCCTTCGTCGCACCTCATGTGCCGCGGGGCGCTGGTCAGCGGAGGGTGGTGCTTTTGTTGTGAGCAGCTTGGCAGCAGAGAAAGCCATTGGGAACGATTTCGGGGAGCCCTGCATCGAGGATACCGCTGCAGTTTGGGTTAAGATCTGGCGTGGGTCTGCAGAATCTGGTGTTCGGATTGGGGGGCTTTTTGCTGCTGCATTCAACTCTATTTCATTTCTCCAATAGTTCTGAAAGAGTGTACAATTGGTGTGCATCAGCTCCATTCTTGCGGCATGTAAGCTGCACATGTAGCAGCCTAAGATGACACAGGGAGTTCCCAGGACCTATACTCTAAGGTCAAGCTCCAGATCAGAAACGCCACAGGTAAACAATATCCCCTACCTCATCCATCCCAGCGTCAGAACAACTGAGTCAAGCATTCGGCAACATTGAGAAGCCCACATCCTGCGATTGCATGATCCATGTGAAGAAAGACCCAAGAACATGCGACGTTGGACAAAACAAAGCTTTCCTCCAACTAAAGCCTTGTCGCTTCTGACGTTCTATAACAGGTGGAGGGCTTGGAGGTCTTGGTGCGGATTCCCAGGACCTTAGGTTTTAGCAATTCAGGTTAAGACGTCAGGGGAAGGGATTTAGGTCAACGGTGATTGGTTTAAGGTCGATGGGTTTCAAATTTGGGGTTGAGGGATTTGTTGCTTGACTGGAAGGTTGGGGACTCTGGGCTTGTGTGGGGTGACGGTTGCGTTTCTGCAAGGTGTGACACGGGATCCTGCGATCCTATGAAGATACCTGATCTATCTCAACCGGCCTCGCCGGAAACAGGCAAGGCAGACTTAAGGCTTCGGCTTAACGACTCACAGAGCTATGAAGAGTGAGCCGTGAAACCTTCCCATCTCTCGTACAAGACCTTCCCAAAGACTAGTGGTGGTTAGGATACCTTGGGAGGATTTGTGGTAGTTTTCAAGTTTAAAGGAGCGAAGCACGCTCTCTGCTACCTTTGTCCTGAGGGATTGCTCCAGTTAGTCACTGGCCGCAGCAAACTTCAACAACCCCGAGACCTGAACCTAAGCTCCCACTTTTCAGGTAAAGGTGAACCAGCCCTACCAAGCAAAAGCTCGAAACTATGAAGCCCCAACCTCTTAGATCACTGGCAGTGTATGTGCCCTTGGTTGTTGCTTCTGGATTTGCCTACGCCTAGACTTGAAGCCCTTGAAATCTAAAGCCAAGGCCTCAAGCCTAAGGCCTTCCTAAACCCTAAGCCCTAACCCCCTTTAAAGCCTTTAAACCCTAATTACCCGTGAGGCCTTTGAAGCCTCGAACTCGGAGCCTCCAGGCCTGTCCTGTGCCACCTGGCTGGCTCCGGAAGCAGCATCTTTGATGCTCTTGGGCCGCAGCGCCCCCCGTCCTGAGGCGAGCTTAGGGTTGAGGGGTTTAGGGTTCAGGGTTTGAGGAGAGTGAAGTTGTATTTTTTTTTTCGGATTGAAGTTTCAATCAAGCTTGTGTCTGCAGTTCGAGGGCTGTTGCCTTGGATCCTCTGAGACAAGGCTGCCAGACAAGGTGATGAGTGCAAAGTATATTTTGAATGGCCCGAACAATTCCCGGCAGCCTTTGATACGAGCCATATATTCTCAAGCTTATGATTCCTATTCGGCTGGAACGGAACTTGTATGTTGGGTTACATATGAACTTGGACGCTAAGATTAAAAGCTACCCCTATGCAGCGTGGCCTCGCCATTCTGATCGGCATGCACAATTTGATGTTAGGATGCAATTTGGGATGATGATTGATTTTCCTTCGGATCTGCTCGTAACTGATTTGCAGAGCCCATGAAGTGCCGCGTAGAACAGAGCGAAGAAACACACAGAGGTTCACTCTATCATGCTTGCTCACAAAGCGAGCAGCCCCAAGTCCTAGACAGTCCTCTAGATTGAGGGCCTCTTCATCCCCTTCCCCTAGCAAACTAGTGATTCGACGACAAGCACAAGACATGGTCGGTTTGTATGGTTTCTGTCTTTGGATCCTGTGTCGATGGCCTCCAGTCTAGTGCGAACTGTTGGTCTTGGGCTTGGGCATTTTGCAGGCAAGCAGTGAGTTGAAATTGGGCGATGCTTGTGATCATCTTGTACGTGCCGCTGCGCACTGTATCCGCGCCCATTAACTGTTACGACCACAGCACGGAAGAACTCCGCTGTGCAAGCTCTGCTTCAAGGAAGTGCTATAGGGATGGGCTTTGAGCTTCTCAGGTAGTATGGAAAGATAGTGAGACTGTTTGCATGACAGCTTCACGCCGATTCCATTGCAAATTTTTGCTATCCCAAACTTCTACCGGCAGGTTCCTACATAGCACTGTTGATCAATCCCCCTCTGAGACTCAGAAATTCTTTCGAGGCATCCGGCCTAATAGCCGAGATTACGTCCGGGCAGTGCGAGATCTGCATCCGCCGGATGGATGTGGCGAACAGGCGCCCGCATGGGTGCAGAGATCCAGAATTCAGTCAAGCTCAACATTCCAAGTCCCATCCTGCTCATTTTGGCCTCTGGATAGTGCTGCCCTTCTGGCTTGCCTAGCGCCATCCGCACTAATCTTACGACTGCCTTTGACTGCAGAACCTCACATGGGCCTTGGACAAGACCCACTCTTTCACGGCTTGCTTGTACGGAGAGCCCTTTCGTTTGGTAGTAGCATCTGAATATTCTTCATGACGCTCCAAAGCTTATCTGTCCTGCGCACAGCCTTCTCCTAGCTTCAACACAAATCCTCTTACACGGCCTTACGGCATCTGTACTGCGAGCATCCGACCCAGTAGTGTCGCCGCCATCTGCATGTTTATCACGCCGCAAGAGAAGTCACTCCCATTAGATTTCCAGACGCGCTTTTGGACCATGTAAGAAAACAGTCAAGTTGTAACCAAGCTGTAGCCTTCATCGTTAGGACTAGTGTTTCAGAATATGCTTACCTGATCCTGTGTCAGAAAGGCTCAAAAAGTGGAGGAAGAGCTTCCCCGGGTTTTGGTTTGAGCCATGCTTCGCCAAGATACCTTCCAGACTCTGAGCCAATTACCCCGGCCCAGCAAGCCACTTCGCTGCACTGGGATCATGGGAGCTCCCCAAGAAGGGGTCCTCCCTATATACCCCCGACTACTGGAAACCTCTCTATGGGCGGCTTCTTCTTGGAAACACTTCACAACTTTCTCAGGAGTGTTTGTGGCTGTAAGAGCCTGTCAGACAGCCTAGGCCCGAAGTGGCCGGCCTTGATGTGGAGGCCGAATCGGGACCATAGTATTTTGGGGTCGATATTGGGGTCCCATTATTTGTGGAAACTACCATACAACCCCTGCAAATGCTGTACAGTCCCGTGCCGACGTCCCCCCCTTACCCCCCGGTATGGTCACCAACCCCCACAGCCCAAAATTCCAAAAGTGTGAGCAGTCAAAGGGATGGTGGGTGCCCTAGTCACGATGAGTTACTGTCCTCGCCTTTTGAGGCCTTGGAGGCGCCAGTCTCGTAACTGTTGTCTTTTTTTTTTGCTGTCGCGAATCTCAAGAGTGCCGATAGAGTCAACAAGATGTTGGGTGTCCTGGCACAATGCTCGAAACTATCGCTGTTTTTGATGCCGCAGATCCCAAAAGTGTCAACCGTGACAAGGATGGTGAGTGTCTTGGTTACGATCCGCGAATTGTCATGGTTTTATTATGTTGCAGATCTCAAAGAAGCTAACAGCGTGGGGAAGATCTGGCCAAAATTACAGGCTGAACTGCTACAGGCTTCAGACAATTCCATATCAGTGCTTCTTCCACCAAGAAGACAGGCCTTTGCTACGGGATGGCAGTCAGGTGCAATAATGCTGAGAGTTGTGGGAAAAGGAAAGCCACCCACTCCGCACAGGGGGAGGGCAAGATCTGAATGACTTCAGCGACTTCTGCAGCGAATGATGACAGTCCTTAAAGGAAGACAACCACCAGGGGCAGGGAGGAGGTCTCAACATGGGAAAAAACCCAACCCCACCACAGGGGGAAAGGAGGAAGAGCTGTTTGACCTCAGAAATTAGAGGTCGCGATGCTGCAAGGTGACAATCAGTTACCAGAATGCTGGCAACTGTGGAACTTCATGCCAGCATCGTAGCATTGGAGGGCGGGAGGGGGAGGCTGGCCGGCGCTGCACCGTAGAACTGAGTTGCCATTTCATTTTCCATTTTATTTTCCATGATCCCTAAATCCTCTTTATCCCGTGTAGGGCAGGTTTCAACGTTGGCATGTATGTTGATTTTGCAGATTGCCGGCTTTGTTTCCGAACCTTTGCATTTCTAGTTGGTTGTGTTTATTCTTGGAGTGCTCGCGTTCTCAGCCTATCTCAAGATCCAACATAGTTGGCCGTAGGCCGTCCTAGGCCCCAATTCCTAGACCGCTTTCCTGGGACGCTAGGCCGCAATAAGGCTTGCCCTAGGGGGAAGCCTCAGTTTTTTTACAGTCCTTACAGTAAGGCCGAGATCCCTACACTGTGGGTTCCGCATCTAACCCCAAGCCCAAAAGCACTACCCTGGGAGGCGCTCAGCAATCGACCGGCCACATCTTGTCCTCTGAAGGAGCACAGCGTCCTGGATCCTGTTCCAAGCTACCCAGAAGGTTGGCTGTGAAAAGCTGGGGATGATCAGTTTGCAGAAGGGCTGGTATGTGGTCTTGATCGTCCGCCTGCGAGATGATTCGCCTGTAGCTTTGAAATTCTAAGTTGGAACTGCCATGAGCTGGGCTATGAGGGTGTAGTGCTGATGGCATGGTAGTCGTCAGCAGCTGCAGATGAGCTCTGGCAAAGGCTTGGTAGCGGTTGATAACTCTGTAGGCGCTGTGGCAGGTTGGCAGATCTCGTCGGAAGACATGTGCTCGCCGAACGAAGTGGTGTCTGGGACCATGTCCACGCGAACGTGGGACTCGTTCTACTCCACCACCATGCTTCTGGGCTGAGACTGGACAGAGTGTCTGCCACTTGAACACTACACTACACCCTCACCCCAGGACTGGCCCTTGTCAGGGATTAGGACTGCTCCCTTGTGCCCTCTCGGTGTGGTTGGGGATTTGCGTAGGCCTTCCCGGGATGATATGAGGACTACACACGGGCTGCGTGGTCGGGTGGGCGGCTGGGCGGGTGGGCGGGTGGGTGGGTGGGCTGGTGGTGCTGCGGATGGGCGGGTGGGACACCCGCCGGGCAGGTGGGTTGCAGACCTTGACATGTGGTGATGATTGTGCCCAAACTGACCCATACCTGCAGCTGTGGGCACTTTTGCATTGCGAGATCTGGTATTGCCAAAAGTGGCGACCTGCCTGTCATGCCGCGACTTAGGCCAGATCCCGGCATGGAGGAGTTCGTTGACACGCTTCCACCAAACAGGCTCCTCCACGACTTGCACAACAAGCATATGAAGGCCTTCCTCCAGGACCAAAGGGGCAGTCAGCTCATGAAATGTCAGGTATCGTAGATGGCCGCATATGGATGCGGGAGATGAGAGCCATTAGACAGCGGCCTAGGACCCCATAGCCCTTGCATACTGGCCACAAAACAACCTGTCCTGAGTCCTTGAGATAGCAGTGGTAGTTGCCATGAGGAAGCTCCCTGCCGCAGTCATAGCTCGACTCATGGTTCAGAGGTCCTTCAGCATGAGCCAGGCGACATGGCCACTCCTCTGATTGACGTCTTGGGAATTTGAAAATCACCTTCTCCACAATTAAAAGCTCTAAGCCAGCCATAAGTATCATCTGATCCCCATTATAGTATATTGTAGTACACACATTATAGTATACTATACTATATTTCACTATAATATGCCCTTATCTACAGCGGATGGAGCCTGCCGTAGCCCTGGGGGCCGGGGCTCTGTTGGGGCTGCGGAAGCTCATTGAAACGGCATTGAAACTGGACATGAGCTGTAGTCTACATTCCTTAAAGGGGGTTCTATGGGTGGTTGTCAAAATTAATGTCCCTTTTTGGCTCCCTATGATAATATGGCACCGAATATTTAGGGTACCCGAAAAGGGACCATAATTTTGACAACCACCCATATATGGGGTTCCTGTTATTGGGCTTACGGAGTTGGAGACCAGGAGTTTAGATTGCATCTCACATGAGCTATAGTCTAAACTCTTTAAAGGGGGGTTATATAGAGGATTATATAGGGGACTACTATTAGCGGTTATTAAGGGGGATACTATGAGTTTAGACTATAACCCCTATGATCCCCTATCAAATCCCAGTTTCCATTTCATTTTCCATTTTCTTTTCCATTTGATTCTCCATTATTAAGGGGGATACTAGGAGTTTAGACTATAGCTCACATGAAGACGCGGCGGCCAGGAAGTCGGCAAGCAGCCGAGGGCCTTGAGATCCGAGGCTTCGCACTTTGGAGATATGGGTGGTTGTCAAAAGTATGGTCCCTTTTTGGGGTACCCTAAATATTAGGTACCATATTATTATAGGGTCCCAAAAAGGGACCATAATTTTGACAACCACCCATATGATGCAGGGATATTACCCTAGGAATGGCGAATCAAATGGACGAGAACATGGAAAATGAAGTGGAAACTGAAGGTTTATCGCGATGTGGACTCAATTCATCCTGGTATTGTTTTGGGTTGCGTTATATCATCGTTGTAAACAAATAACCGCGGAATAATATTCGCAATTATTCTACTTCTGTATACCTCTAAATGATCCCTACATATGCCTAAATGGTCGCTTTCCCTCCGTATATAATCCCTGTTTAAGTCGCTTATATGACTTATATGGATTTGGGTTTAGGGATGCGAGGATGCAGATGGGGTCTGTGCAGACTAAAAAAGCTACCATAAGTTGGCAAACCCCAACCCCCAAAATCGGGATGCGGTTATTGTCATATGATAGTCCTAGGGTCCTGATGTGTTGGGTTGGGGGTATCAGAATCCTCTTAATTGGTAAGAATCATCCCTGTATAGCCCCATCTCATAATCACCGTTTCCTTTTCATTTTCCATTTCGGTCCGTTTAATTCTCCATCACCACCCAAATCCCGAAACCCTAGAGAAGGGTTACCATTCCTTTTCTATTAAGCCGCTTCTAATTGCCCCTATACAATCCCCACATACTACCATATACCTATATACCCCCTTGTAACGCTACATGCCCTTACATGACCCCATATAATCCCCTGTATGTGTAGACTATACTAGGCCTGATTATAAGCTACTCTATCGTATTTGTGTGCGTCGTCTCCTCGGCCTAGCTTGAAAAAGTGGATTTGTTGTTTTTTTTGGAAAAACAGCTGGAGGGTCCGTGGGTTTAGCTGAAACCATGGAGCCTAAATAGTAGTGTCCATGGAGGATATTCCATTAGGCTCCTCTATATTTTCATATTCTAATTTGCATAGAGGCTGTAAAGGGTTGTAAGGTTGAAGCTGCGGGTGCTGAGTTTTCGATTCAGAGTCATATCATCTACAGCCTCTGTTCTAAGCAGCATCAGTCCTCTCAAGTCTTCAGCTAGCAGCTAGTTCATTCGCACACTTTGTCCGAGGAGCGACCGCTGTCTCATGGAACCCTTGAAGGGGCAAATCTAATCGTGCCCTAGAAGAGCTCTTTTGTTTCCACGGGACAAGGGTAACTCTTGAAACTTTCCTGACAGATTGCTACCTTCGGCGCATTTTATGATTCACAGTAGTTGTCCAGGCCCGACTTACAGTGTTGAGCTGTTCATGGAAAGCCACTTCATTTGCCACCCTTTCTAGGTTGCTCGTCGACGGCAGGGTACAGATGACAACCCTGAACCAGCACCTTTCTTGTCTTCCATGTGGAAGCTGTTGGGCGGCAGTTGATGTGGGGTTGTTCGGGACTGCAATGTCAACAAGCAGGCGCCAGTGGCGTTTCAGCACCAGATTAAGCAAGGTTTGTAATGCAGAGCTCGGCAATCTTTCTAAAACTCTTTGAGCCTGAGCAGCCAGCCACGCACTGCCGCCGTACTTAGTTCCTCGTGGACAGCCTAGGGGCTTTCCGCAAGAATTCTTTGAAGGTTCGCGCTGGCTCTGAAAAATCCAGCAGCTGCCTATTTTTAGTGTCGCTGGCGCTATCACGCTTGGCGCCACCCATTTCCAGAAGACGTTCCGAATGTTATGTCTGCAAAGGGGCCAACACCAAATGATAACCCGGCAGGCGCTTCGGAGACGCAGGATTCAGTATTTGAAGCTGATCGTTGCATGGTCGATTTTGGAATCCAGGCTCTTACAGATTCATCGGCTTAAGCGTAGCCGTAGCTTCATTGGGTGAATTTGAAGAGCTTGAGCTGCCGTTTTTTCTGTAAGAGCCCTGCAAGACCGACACTTACTCAATTTTTAAAGCAGGCACCTACTACCTGCTTTTTACAATTGCCAAATCAGAGAATCAGAGGACAAACGGAATCACCAACGAGCTCCGCCAGGGACGGACGCGTTGGGATACCGGATATGGCAGCAGAGAAGACCCTGGATGAGTTGGAACCCTATGAGGCTTGAAGAGCCCACACTGCTCAATCCAGAGCTCCTGCTTCCTGCTACAAGGGAGTCTCAAAACATTTTTGATCCCCAATATGCGCTCCCAAGTCTTCTTCTGATCCTTTATACGCTCCTGCAAGGTACCCCTGTTTTGAGAAGCTCCTACTTGTTGTTTTGTTCATGAGATCCGCCTGTCAGCTCCTCGGAAGGCCGAGAGATGTCGAGTGGGTGGTTCACGTATTGTTTCGCGCTACGTTTTGGAAGCCATACCAGTTCCCACTAGCACCAGCCATCTATGCTAGCCGTTGGCTTTTTGGGCCACTTCAACAACCTCCAAAACCCAGCAGCGCTACGTTCGAGCATGTAGGGTGTTTGGACGTCTGACAGGGGTCGACCCCAATGAGCTTTGAAAGCAGAGCTCTAGCGGCCAGACCTTGCAGGTTAAAAGCGGAGGATGACACTTTGGTTAGCTGGCAATGAAGGAATGGAAAAGAAAATGGAAACTACTAGGCCATACTGGGTTATATATGGACTACTATAAGGATCCATTCCTTAATCTGCTTAAGACATTGCCGCGATCTCCGATAGTAGGCCGCCCACAGCGAAGCATCATTAGTCCGATCCCCCAGGCAGAAATATGTCAGGTGTGGCACAGAGGAAGGTATATTATGACTCCACATAGTAGAGTACTTTCCATTTTCTATTCCATGCCTTACTACCGAATAACCCGCAAGGCGTATGCCCAGCCCAGACTGCTGAGTCACTAAGCTTTTTTGGACACTATTAGTGGTTCTAGCAGTCTAGCAGAAGGCTCACTAGGACGGAGCGTGATGATTATGGCCCGTTCACGGCTTAGGGCTCAATTTTGGGGCATTCTGTTGTCATGCCGGTTTCCAAGATCGCATTTATGCCCAAGATGCCCACGCAACTTTAGGCTGGACCATGCAAACTCATACTTAATTTTGATTCTGTTGCTTACTATTACATTATAATATGACCCATTATAGTAGTTTCCATTTTCTTTTCCATTATCCCCCATGTAACCCCAATATACCCCCGTAGAGGTCCGAGCTCCTCGGATTGGGCGAGTTCCTCGCAGACAGGGTGCGACGAGGAGTCGTACAATGTTTGGGGGCCATTGCAGAGGGATCTCTGTTTCCCTCAGGGGCCTAGAGCTTCCAACTATGTCGCTGCTGTCAGCCCCAGAATTCGGTGTGTTGAGGCATCCTCCCCCCCCCCCCGTTATACGGAAATGGAAAGGTAAATGGATACTAGTTGGGGTTTAGCGGTTAGGGCTGTTTTGGGACCTTTTCTGCGGCAAGTTCAGTGTCGCATGATGTGTTGGCAAAACGCCAGCGTTCGAGGTTGCTACAAGATCATGATAGTTTCTGATGCGTCTTTCTCATAGGGTTTAGGGTTTAGGGTTTAACCTGCGAAGTTTTCAAACTATACAACTGAATCGTTCAGTGAATGTGCCGCGGAGTTGTCAAGTGAATGCACCCGGCTGCACTTGGTGGCGCGTCTTTGCACCAGAGTATGTTGTGCTGCGACATATGCCAGTTGCTGGCACACGGTTCAGCTCGAGAATGCACATATCAATGGACCTCCACGTCCTTCAAAGTTGTTCTTTAGCTTCTAGCCATCTGCGCTCAAGTATTTTTAGTCGTTCACAATTACTCAGGGTTGAAGCTCAAAGTGTTAGGGGTTGGGTTTTCCAACTCTTAACAGTTACGCCATGCCGTTTGAATCAAGAGATAGCCGAGATTTTCGGCCGCTCGGCTTTGCCAGGCTGCCGTGTGGGGGGTCTGGGGTTCAGGGTTTGGGGTGCGTCGAGCTTTTGAGTTTTTAGCATTGGGGCGGTCTGGCGCGTGCACTCGCAAACTGTGGAGTACTGGTGAAGAGTTACTGCGATGGTGCATAAACCCGCTAGCCTGCTGACCTTGGAACCTAGGAGGTGATGTTGGCTCAGGTACTGGTTTGCTTGCAGCATGTAACTAGGACATTGCCACATGAATCCACATTGCAGTGGACCAAAGAGCCAGTCACATGCGACCCAAGCCGAGACACTGACACCAATGATGCCTAGGTTTGGTTTTGGGTATAGAGCTGTCTTGTGTCAAAGCTTCAAGATGTTGAATCATGCCTTCTCTTCCTGTAATCCTTGGCTGGAATCAGCAAGCAAAGTCTTCAATTTTGAGTAGAAGCCAGCCAAGAGCCTAGGGCCGCAGACCTCTAGACTCTGGACTTCTAGACGGTCCTAGACTCCCCCCAACCTCGAAGCTGAGGTATGCGACTGCTGATGCAGAGCAGGGTGAGCCACATAGGGAGGAGCTGTTTCCGCTTTCAGGACCCGTATACCTTGCTGAAACGGTTTGAGGCTGTTGCGATGCAGCGGCCTTGGCGTAGTGCATATTGTTGGGCCGTGTATGATCTTCCCATCTGAAAAGCCAAGCCACAGGCTCAACTCTAGCATTCAGTGATCATGAACCCCTCTAAGAACTGCGCTTTGCTGCCCATTTGTCGGCTGCTTAGTGGACCTTGGTGTTTTTCGAGCAGTTTACGGAGGCTTCTGCAAATATTCCACCAGCAGGCTGCAAAGCATCTGAGCTATAAGAGTCTGCACATGTCGCAGTGACGGTCCTTGCTGCAGAGGCCTTCCGCTTCTACGTTATCCTCAGACTCAAAGCCTCAGTAGCCTGAATTTTCAGAAGCCAGTCGATGTCCGAGCCACTCGAGGGCAATGCTAGCTCCAAGGGACGGTGGGTGATGCATGGGTCGGCAGCTGCTCTCTGCTTGACAACAACAAGTTGCTACCAAGAAGCGCAACTCCCGACAGCCACTCGATTTTGCCGGAAGGACTGCATCTACAATGCACGCAGGCTCGCCAACGTAGCTGAGGATTCAGGATTGAAGTATAGTGTTGTTAGACACAGTTCTGCAGCAATTGTGCATTGAACTCTAAGGTACCTGTTTGGATCCTCACGTGACGCATTCATCACCCAGTTTGACTATTGAGTTGACTCTCAGACATAGAGCACCAGATGCAACCCTCTTTAAGGGTACAGTTCAGGTTTCTCAAGACAACAGAGCTTGGATTGCTTGAGATGGCTGACGGTTACAGTGTGTGCAGGGGGGGGGGTCTTTCTGCAGACCCCAGACGATCTTCAAAAAGCGAACAGTTGTGAACGATGAACATGTCAACAAGTGAGATTCTGTCGTCTCAGAGATTTCGAATTAAGGAATAGAATTTTTAGATTGCAGGTTTTGGGGTCTTGGTCAAGAGACGCTCTACGCTGAATGTAGAGGCTGCGACCGAGTGGGGCTTGCATACAATGCGGCAGCATCCGCTGATGGGCGGTGTGGACATCTACTGTATGCCTACGCTCCAAACCTATGGAGTGGTCCAGCATTCATATTTTGCAGCATGATGCTTCAGAAGCGCTATGCCCAAGCAGCCCTGAGCCAGAAGTTTTCAATGCTCCCACCCAAAAGAGATGCAACATCCAAATTGTCTGCAAGGCCCCTGCAGACAACATTCCTCAGGCGGGCCTGGGCAGTTGGTCCTGTGGTATGCTGCCTTGGCGGCCATTACAGAGATGAATTCCGCTAAGGGCCCCTTTAGGAAAGCTTGCGGTGGAACGCGCTTCCGATTTTTTTCTTCGGCAATGGTCAGATTTGGTGCCGCTCCTGCTGTGGTTAGATCATACAAGCAAAGGCTGGACCAATTAAACTACATGCTAAAGAAGCCTGGATGCGCATCTGTCATTGTTCAAATGAACCTTGATCCAGAACTTCAAGCTGGAGGGCTGAAACCCAAGCTCCCTGTCCCGCATAAACCAGACTTGTCTGGCGAGGCCAGTCGCTCGAAGTCATGTAGGCTGGATCTCACCAACAGTGGCGGGTGGGGCTCAGATCCTTTGGTTTCGGGCTTGGCTTAGGAGCTTGTTGCAACCGTTCCTATTTGGGTCCTTATCGTGTCTTCAAACTCAGAACGGCGGTGTAGCAAAACCCGGAGGTACCAGTACAAGTACCGCGGTTCTAGGCTGAGTGTGGTACATGTGGCTGGCTGTTGCGCTCATTGGCGCTAGCCATATTCAGTTTCTTTTTTGTAAGCATATGCTTTCAACTTCCCTGCAGCGCGCAGCAGGAAACCTGACACAGGGGAGGTCTATGCCCGTTGCAGGTGAGTTGCATGCGCAATTCCTTTCGACCTCAGTCCGGGACATCTATATCCTAAGGAACTTGTTTGGTTCCGTATTCACCCATGACAGCCCAGCTACCTACTCTCCGGGATATGTGCACCACTATTCTCCGACAGAGCACCAGATTATGTCACGAAGATGAAAACGAGAAGCGGAACCACGGCGCGAAACAACGGAGGTCACAACTCGACGGCCGTGCTTGCGCCCACAGTTTAGGGCTTAAGCTAGAGCACAAGCAAAAGCAGTACACCATGCGGCAACACTCCGGTGTGGAATCACAGGCATCTGGCAGGAGTAAACTGGACGTTCAACAGTGCTGCTAGCTCGCCATAGCTCGTCCATGACATAGGGATTGAAAGGATTGGTTATATACGGGATTATCCAGGGTAATATAGGAATTATGTAGGAGATTATACAGGGGACTGTATAAGCACATGGGAATATATGGGGATTTGGAATTATAGAGGGAGATGGGAATATTGAGGGATTACACTCACAATATCTCGAAGGCCAATGTCTTGGCACATTGGGCCAGCGTTTGAGGCTTCGGCCTGCACAGCTTTTATGACTTCAGGACATTGTCCTTATGTTTTTCAGCAAAACCCTCTACAGATTCCCATACCTCTATATAATCCCTTTATTACAATCCCCATATAGCCTGACTTAACCCCCACACCTACATATTCCAAATGGCAGGCTATACGTGACCATCTTTGGACTGGTCTTCTTTGGCCTGGTTCTGTGGTCTCCATTGTCCTTGCGGCAGGCAGGGAGGTTTCGTAAAACGAGGGCCCCTTAGGGGCCTTAGGGAGAAAAAGGGATCCTGTAGGGATGTATAGTATAGGAATTTGGTAGGGATTATATTCAGATTGTAAAGGAGTAAGCTTGGGATTGTACAAGCATCATGTAAGGGTGCCCTCGGGATTGTGGTTGAGTTGCCGAAGCTTGCTCGGGGTGTTGATGGTTTCTGTGTTATCAGGGCTGATCGGAAGTGTATGGCCCGGTGGGGTCCTACTCCAACACTTGCGTAATCTGTAGAGAGGGTGTGAATGCTTCCCCCAAGCAAAAATGTTGCCCCCTCACACTCTGATATCAACATTCCGCTGCGCTGACAGGATGTAGTCTTAGTTTTCTTGATGCTCTCCTGGGGTCCAATTGCAGGAGAGCGATAGCGCAGGTCCGGAGGCAGATATGATATGATTGAAGCCAACGAGTGAAGTGCATCATATCTGAATCTTGACCCCTCTAATAAGAAGGTCGACGCCCCAAACTCCCTGGAATTCTAGAGTCGAGTCGCCTTACAACTGAAGTCGCATTTGAAGTTGCAAACAAGAAGGCTGACTTGAGCCCTGAGTTACCAGTTGCCCAAGCTTGACACCCACCCGACCTGAACTTGTAGACAGTGAGACAGTGGACAAAGGTATCTTTGACCAGGGACTGTAGGAATGTGGCTCAACCTCACAGCCCACAGCCGCGGATGCAGGCTGACTTATGGGGCGCGCTCGCGCTTTTCCTGCCAAATTTGGGCCATCTAGACTCTAAGGGAAACTGGATCGCCGCGACCCAGCTGGTTGAGTGTTTTCCATGGTTTGCGAATGCGTGTGTGTTGGGGTGCACGGCTAGGGAGTATCCAGGCTGGGAGATAACAGATACGCGGTTTGGCTTGATGGGCTGAGAACAATGATTCGCAATAGAGCGCAGCTTTACTGCCCTCTCCAATCGTGCCTTCAGGGCTGAAGTTAATAGAGCTGTCAAGCCCAGTCTACATAATGACAAGCTTTGGCGCACTCAGGGGGCCACACCTAGAAATTCAGACAGTTGGGATAATGCCCTCATGAGCCATGTTGCTACCTGTTGGATGCTGTGGATGTCTCCCTTCATAATTCTGATATGCCCGAGTCCCCAGCGAAGAAAGAACCTCATAGCCCCGAAGAAAATACCCTTCCTAGGTTTGGACTTCCAACCCGAAGCCTTGAGACCTGCTGAGGTCCTGCAGGCCCCCAACCTAACACCCCAAAACTCACCTAGGACACCTGGGATCACTTCAAGCTTCCTGACTGCGACCCGGGCCCACCACCCGAGTACAAGAAGCGGATCCCCTACTGGGTCAATGTGTTTGGGCTGCACTCTCCATGGTTTCGTCATCTACCGTTGCCTGTGCCAACAGCCCAATGAGTCCTAAATCCTGGATGAGTTTTGAGAGCGCTGCCTACTTGTTTTTTGCTTTCGCTGTTGAACTTGTGCGTGTGGGGGGTTGGGTGGGGGACTTCCGAGTTACCCAGGCTTGCTATGTGCCTCAATATCACGAACATCCGCTCGCCCCGCATGCACACTAACAAAACGGTGAGCCCCAAACTCTTGCTTCGTAAGGAAGAAGGCGATTGCACTAGTTCCAGAGTTGTTCCAGAGCAGAATCTGTGACTGTCTTCGAGACCGTGAAGGCCGTCTCCGAGCAGTAAGCCCCATAGATCAAGCTGGCTACGAGGATCCACAGGCCCACAATCCGCCAAACATGCAGAAGTTCAATTCTTTCCCGCATCCCTACTCCCCTTTCCATCCCCTCTCCAACACAGGGAAGCCTTATCCTGAACCTTCCGCTGTGTTTTCTGTTGAGAGAGCCTGCTGCTCCAAGGAATCTGTGTGGGTGCCGCCTAAGAAGGCATACCACATGGACGGAAAGTTTTGGGTCTTTCCCAACGAGTCCAACGGAGGCCTGGCGTAGAAAGTGGATTTGGACAAAAGTTTGACGTTGAGCTCGCTTTATTCAACCTAGAGATTGAACTCCAATTTCGAGATTTTCTGCTCTTCAGTGAGCACGTCAGCCTTGAGACCTGCCCTAAACCCTAAATCCTAAACCCTAAGTCCTAAATCCTACACCCTAAACCCTAAACCCCTGCTGTTGATGTTTTGTTTGACTAGGCCATTGGGTCCCGGCCCACGATGTGCCGGCAGAGCCAGGTGCGCCAAATGTTGGGGTTTGGGAAAACGCAGGCTACGGAATTCAAATTTCTGACGCCAGGCAGAAAGTATATGTGATAAGTATTGTTGGGCAAAGCTCTAAGCTGAATGCAGTGCCTGAAGGTCAAAAGTTTTGAGGTATCTTGGGGTCCTTGATGCACGACCCTCTGCTTTAAGATTTCTTAGTGATCATGGCATGCCCTACGAATTTCATTTCTTCATCCTAACCTGATCTTGGGTTGCAGACGTTGGTCAAGTCTTTTTGTGTGTTGGGTTTATGGCTGCATCTGACCCGCTTGTACTACTGTATTTCAAATCTTCTCGGACAACAAAGAACGTGGTTCCTCATGGCCCCAGCATGTCAAGATTCGGGGGTGAGCCGCTTATTCTGGACTTCTTACAGGGCAAGCTTCTGCTAGGCTTCCATGGTAAAGCTAGGTATACAGATTGCGCTGCGCTACTGCAATGTGATCCCATACCCCATGGCAAAGATACTTGTACCAAGGGTACCAGGGGCAGCTTGCAAATGCTTAAAACCTAGGCATGCGTTCCCAAACATACTCAAAACGTAAGCCCTAAACCTAATCCCTCGTCACTCCTGCAGCATTCCCACCAAAGCCTTGCATGATTCTTCCTAAAGTGGCAGAAAGTTTGTGGCTGAATGCCTCCCCCTAATAATGACCCCAGCCCAGCTATTAATGAATATTCCTCCTAAGATATGGTAATTTCCCAAAATCGGGGACCCCAATATAGACCCCAAAGTACTATAGTCCTTACAATGGAGACCCCCCAAAAGGTACACCCAACTTTAGGAAACCTCCAGATATGATGGTACTACATTCGGAACTACATTCGGAAAACTATCATTGCGGGGTGGGTGGGCTTACCTGCTGAGGCCACTTCATCTCGGTTGCAAAGAAGCACTACAAAGAGGCACCCAGCTGCATTGGCATTGGGGCTGTTATTTAGGGGCATGTAGGGGTATACAGGGGCATCTTCAAATCATGGAGGCATATGGAGGCTAACATAGAAGTTCTAGAGGGACAACATACTGGGATATGCTACAGGAATATGTAGGAATAGTGGAGCATCCAATGGCACACAACAGGGAATTTGAGATGAAAAAGGGTTATATTGTAGTTTGATGTGTTTTGAGTTGTATGACTTTGGTTTAAGGGTTCGCGGCTTGGGCTTAGGGGTTGAACGCTGCAGGGTTAAGCATTTAGGGTTCAGGGTTACAAGATAGCACTTGCGGAGTTACAGGGGATTGGAGGTCCTGGGGTGTTTGCAGATGCGCTGTCTGGGAGTGGTTCCTTCGCCACGTGTTCAGGCATGACTATTCACCCTTTCTTTAAATCCTTCGAAATGCTGCGCCGAAGCCTAATACTGAGGAGCCAGGCATTTTGCAGCAAGTGTAGGCCAACAACAAGCCTGACTGTCAGGGTTCACTGTGGAAGCTTCTGTTTGTCAGGGAGCTCCCTAAATTACTCGGACACGCTCTACTGCAGTCATGCTCTGGTCCAGAAGGTCATAGAGCTTCTAAGGAACCCACAAGAACTCCCCCCCAGCCTTCATGAAAAGATAAGCACAGAAGACACTCTCCCAGGGAAACATCTATAAACCCTAAACTCTAACATGTAGTAGTTTCCATTTGATTCTCCATTATCCCAATATAGCCCCAATATTACCCTAATATACACCCTATGAACCCTATAATTCCAGTTTCCATTTCATTTTCCATGTTCTTTTCCATTTGATTCTCCATTATCCCAATAAAACCACAAAATATCCCATACATATCCGATTATGACCCCTATATAACCCCTAAAATCCCTGTAGTTTCCATTTTCTTTTCCATTATCCCAGTATAACCCCAATCTATACCATTACAGTTGAAACCCCAAAAGAGGCCTGGAAAGCAAACTTTCAGCCTTAGAGTGGGCTGGACGGGGCCCTGTTTCTGGCAGGTTCCGTTTGTGCGGACCGCTGAGCAGGATGCTTGCGCCGAGAAGATGAAGCATTTCTACTTGCATATATGGGTAGTGGTTACAGGATTTTAGGGCTTAAGCTTTGGTGGCATGGCTCGCTGCTTTGTAGTTGGTTCTAGGTACTAAGTACCTGCCAACATGAAGGCTCGGGGAAGGAAGCTTTTGGGTTCATTGATTGCCGGGGCTCTGGCCAGCACTGGAACACACCTCACAAGAGCCAGCCACCTGATCGTCATAGGTCAAGCGTTGTTTGCATTGTTACTTGTTATTGGGTTTGCTCATTTGGTTTGAGGGTGCGTGCAGGAAACCCCGCAATCCTCTATGAGTGGTTTTGCGTTGAGATGTTGGAAGTCCTGATGACTTTGACAATCTTAGACACTACCGGCTGGCTGATCTCATACCCCTGTTAGAATGTTAGAAGCTATAACTACCGTTCTCTCCTTCAACTCCAGCCCGCAGAGCCACTGAATCTGGAGTTGGGCTTCAGGGTTTAGGATTTTCCATCACTTGACGACATTTGATCAAATCGCTGCTACTTTCGAGGTCGGCTGACGCCTATCACCAGAAGCTCATCGCACAGCATGCGGAGTTCCAGAAAGCGCGAGCTGAAATGGAGGTGGGCACTACGGGATGGTGTGAGTGTTGTAAAGATTTGGCATTCTCTGGGGGCGGTGCCTTTCAAACCGCTTGTGAAAAGTTTGTAGGATTTGGGAAGCCATCCCATGCCTTCAGAGCCCTGAATCATTTTTGACACCCTGCCTTAAGGCTCCACACCTTGAACTGTAATCCTGGCACTTTGAGGCCCGGACATTTCCAAGGAGTAAGGTTCAAAGTAATGAGCAGACTAGGTAGTTGACAAAATTCAATGCCCTTGCTGAGGAGCTGCTTCAGTGGCAAGCAACCCATTCGTGCGGAGCGTGTCCTGGCTAGGTTTGATATGTATGAGGTTTTTGTGAGGATGCGTGGAGGGGAGTAAGTGCAGCCTCTCTTGGATTGCCTTTGCCTGCACTTTGCCTTCTCAAGTGCATGGGATTTCAAGGTTTCTTGGGGATCTGAGTCCATTTGGGGTTCTGCATCCTGAGGCTCTAGGGTGAAGGGCTAATAATCATCAACCTTCGGATTCCTTTGGGAGTGATATCTGCTCTACACGACCGAGGCCCTTGCCGACATGATGAGGGTTTGAGGCCTAAACTCACGCAGGGGGCCTGAAGCCTCCAAACCATGAGATGGGTTGACATTTCTCACATTTCTCTTCAGATTTCGTCGCCTATGGCGTCACAGTCACTACAAGGAAGCTTTCGTCCTTTGGTCAGCACACCAAAGCTTTGTGGAACATGTGTATGTCTCGCGACCTGGGTTAGAATGGATTTGCCCGGGATGGGGTGGTTCCGTACGTCTCAGGGCAGGATTTTATTGCAACAATGACCAGGATCGCTTTGAAGCCTGAGAAAATTCCAACAGAGGTTACTGGTTCTTCAGACTTCTTAACGCACACAAGGGATGCAGGACATACAGCTTTGCAGGGGTGCAGGCTTCAGGGAGTTTATTGGGGGCTCGAAGCTGCTTGACCTCTGGGTCGAGCCTCCCGATCTTCGTGAGGTGTTCACGCCGTAGCATCTCAGTGCACAACAGTTCTGCAGTCATACAAGTTGCCGTGGATCACACCCTGCTGAAGGTTCTCATGCTGACTACAGACCTCATAGTACGTTTGCAGGGAAGGAAGTCTCTTTTGAGGCGTTCGGTGAGTTGGCCCTCAATCCTTTTGAAAGATGAGTGGGGCATGTCAACAAACCTGTTCTGCATATGTGCTTCCCCAGATGATCTGATGGCCAACAGATACTTGCCTTCATCATCTCTCTTGATTTTCCCTATCCAGAACTAGGGTTGATGGACAACACCCTGCATTGTCATCTGTAAATCAACAAGAGGCCTGATGTTAATGTGGTGTACTTTGGGTCATGGACGGTTTTGTCCATCAACAGTAAGACCTACTGCTGGTACTTGGTAGTTGTAGTTGAGGCTGCTTAAAAGCCAGATTGGCCTCGGACCTTTTCCAGGGCCATGTGGGAGTTTCCACAAGTTAGGGGCCCCTTTTTGGGGATCCTTGTCATAAGTGCTATACTACATTGGGCTGATGCTCCTGATTTTGTGGAAGCTCCCATGTCTATACATGAAGACCTGAAGATGCTGCACTTTCCTTTTTACACGCACCCACATGCCTGAACCATAAAGCCAGACTTCCTGTGACCCCAGACTTCCTTTGAGGGGGACCCCCTCGTAATAGGCGGTTGGGGGGGTATGTCACCATGGGCGCCGCCTATTCCTACGCCTCTATAGGAGTGTGGGGTGGGGGTAGGAAAAATAAGCGGGAAGCCTCAGTTTCAAGGCCGGATTGTTGTGCCAACTCCCTCATGGCAATGTGGTCAAGGGACCCCCAGCACTGCAATGATATGGAATGATATGGAAATAGGCGGGCCGCCTATTTCGGGGACCCCCCACATACCCCCACCCTCGAAGGGGTTCCCCTTCCTTTGATTGGTTTAAGACTTGCAGGTACAAATCTCTCAAGCCCGAAATAGTGTAAGCTTTTCCTCCCTTATCTCCGCACCTCCAGGCAGTCCGCCAATGTGGTGTTCCATGGTTCGGCTGCAGCCAAGGAGCCTGATGGTGACAAGTCTGGCAGCTTGACTTAGAAAAGGGCGGCAGGGTGGGTAGGATTCTTAAGGGTTCTTTCGGCTTCCTTGAGCTTGTTGTTTTTCCGCATTGCAGTATGATTGTGGCAAACTCAAAGCTTCCAAGTTTCTGAATCTCCAAGCCCTAGCCATTCCAAGCGCAGTTTGACCATGGAAGATGGGGAGTATAGAAAGACGTGGGTTTCCTGAGCTAAGCAGCTCACATGAAGCCCACACTTTGCGTGGCAGAGCAAAGTAAGAAACCGATGCTCGCCAGCACCTGGGATCATGCAGGCTGCAGGATGTGGTAGTTTCCCAAAATAAGGGAACCCCAATATAGACCCCTAAATACTATAATCCTTATAGGGACCCCCCAAAAGGGCACCCCTAATTTTGGGAAACCCCCATATATACAATCCCCCATATAATCCCAGTTTCCATTTCATTTTCCATTTTCTTTTCCATTTGATTCTCCATTATTAAGGGGGATGCTATAGAATAGACATGGTATCCCAATATAATCCTATATAACCCCAATATACTATAGTAGTTTCCATTTTCTTTTCCATTATCCCAATATAACCCCAATATATACCCTAATAATCCCTATATAACCCCTATATAATCCCTGTAGTTTCCATTTTCTTTT